TAGATGCAGATTAAAGTCACCGATGCAGAAGCCTGATTCAAACATATACCTTGTTAAATGAACAAAATACAGGCACAGGTACCAAATATAGTACCAGCGAATGCACAGTGGTAATGGCAATTGAGAAAATGTCAAGAGGAAACCCAAGGAGAATGGACTTGTTTAGATTAAGTAATGAGTCATTCAAACCAAAGTGAATTTCCTATGATCACAGAAATGCAAAGAAACTGAAAATATGTCTAGCTAAGAAATTTTGTGTCTCCATGGTAGGTTAGGCATGTGGCAAAATGAACTACTGAAATAGGGAAAAAAAGTAGTTGTATACTAGATCAGCAAGCTAGAATACAGTCACCCAGATGGTTTCCTGGATTTTTCCAGTGCATTCATCAAAACGGTCACTTTGCTTGGGGAATACATAGTACACACATTTTCTGAGAGTCCATGATGCTCAGAAAAAAACACAAAACAAAAAGTAGGGAAAAGGGTATTCTCTTTCTTTCATTTTTTCCTGCTTTGAGTGTTTTTCATCTCTATTATTGAGAAAGACTAGATTTAAAAATAAATTGATTTTTACCTTAACAGTACTGTAAGAGAAAGAGGGATGATGTTTTCCCCCAAAGGCTTAAATGACTTGAGTTGGAATGTTACTTTAGTTGTAACGGATACATCCTTTTCTGATGAGTGTTTTCCAGAGGTTGTTTTTTCTAATTTGTGTTAAAAAATACAAAGCAACGATGATCTGCCATAATGTGTCTTAATATATTTATGTATTTCGACTGCTTTGGTTTTCTCTCATTGCTTCATGTAATCACCTTCCTACTTGTTCTTCAGTCATCTACTGAGTCTTCCAGAGCAGAATTTATGATGTTAAAAATCCCCAAAACACATACTAAATTTTTAAATAAAATTAAGACATCTCTTAAGAGTTTAATGACCATACACCCTCATCATCTCATTTCAGAACATTTAAATGAGAATTTTGATAGCATGTGTTTGTAAAAATCCCACTTTAAAATTAGGTTTATGACCCACTCATTTTAAAATGCTTATCAGTTCTATATCGAGAAGAGCAACTACTATTCTGTAAGAGGTGACTGATCATAGAATTACAAAAGGACTAGTAGACTAGGACTAGGACTGATTAGCAGAAGCTGGAAGGGAAGATGGATAAGAGGAAATAAATTATATTGGAGAGGAAATGTGCCATTACAAAAGAAAAAAAACCATGCAAATTAGTCGTAGAAAGAAGTTGACAAGAGGGTGGATAAAAACAATGCTAATATGCAGTGTACTGCTTTCAGTTCCTCTTTTTCCACTTCACTGTCCATACTGTTTTTTCTGATTTTCCATGTTTTTTTCCTTCCATCTGTCAGAGCAGAACTTGATCTTTTGTGTCTGTGGGTTATTGTTGCTCTTGCTATTTTTAGTAGAAGATAAAAAAACCCAGTAACCTTTATCCAACTTTCAATAAGAGAAAGTAATATTGGCCCAGGCTCAACACCAGTTAGAACACAGAGATTTTCATTTCAACCAGTGTGTGATGTTGTAACTTTTCAGAAGATATTACTGCATTTAAAAGCATTTAACAGATGTTAAAGTTATTTTTTCTCAATATATTTCTTTCTTAGTACCTGTGAAACTATTTAGATCAAGAATTTATTTTCAATAATTATTCAGTCTTTATGGAGCATGCAAAATCACATATTACTCATTCTTTTCCCTGAACTAGGTGGATGAGCTATTTGAACTGGAGAAAACCAATAATAGTTAAATTCTGTAGGCCTTTAGTTCTGCTATTATGGAACAGGTGTGGATTTTGAGACAAATAATTGTTTGACGTTACTGTTCTTCAACCATTTGATGTCACTATCTGCCACAATAATATTAGTATTCAGCTTAGAGAAGAGAAGGCTCTGAGAAGACCTTATAGCACCTTCTAGTGCCTAAAGGGGGCCCAAAAGCTGGAGAGGGACAGTTTACAAGGGCATGGAAGGATAGCACAAGGGGGAATAGCTTTAAATTGAAAGAGGGTTGGTTTAGGTTAGATATTAAGAAGAAAATCTTTACTGTGAGGCTGGTAAGGCACTGGAACACGTTGCCCAGAGAAGCTGTGGACGGCCCATCCCTGGAAGTGTTCAAGGCCATGTTGGATACGGCACTGAGCAACCTGGTCTAGTGGAAGATGTCTCCGTCCACGGCAGTCCATATGGCAGTGAGGTTGGAACTGCATGATCTTTAAGGTCCCTTTCCAACCCAAAGCATTGTGTGGTTCTATGAACCCAAATCATTGTGTGGTTCTATGAATATTTTCCACAGTCTAACACTTCAGGGGAACCATCAGTGGGCTTGCAGAATTGAGAGCAAGGGTTGGGTGTCATTTACCAAGTTCTGGGGCTGTCAAGTCACATATGCTGAGTGCCAGGCTCCCTGAGGTTGTTCTGTTTCTTTGGCAGGGGTGGGGGTGTCTTTGCAGTGGACTCCTAGAGCTGTGCTGCAGCCTGTGGTGTGTGCCAGGATGTCTGTTTAGTCTTGCAGAAGGGCCACAGTGTTATGCTCAAAAACAGCTGGGAGTACAGGAAAATGATCTCGGGTAAACAGGTAAAACAGGTGTGACACTGCTACCTGCATTGAAGGCGTCTGTACAGCTGCCTTCCTAGTGTCCCTGGTGGTGCAGTGGCTAAACCACAGCGTTGTCAACGCTGAGATCTGGGTTCGATTCCCGGTTAGGACACTCCCCGGGCAGATGGAGCTCGCTAGCCCTGTAAGGCAATCCATCTACGTCCTGCGCAGGCTGGAAGGTGGAAAGACCTTCCCCGGTTCTTCGTTCGCGAAGAGACTGGCCATTCATTCACAGCTGCCTTCCGCTCTGGAGAGGTGGCATCTCTCCTGCCTCCCCAGCATCCCTGTCTTGGTCAGGTCTGTGGCAGGAATGCCCCAGCTCTCCCGTTCTCGTGTGAAGGGTTGCAAGTGGAGAGAAGGAGCACAGACAAAAAAAGGCAGCTGGATCCCAGCATGCAGGGACAGGCTCCCGCTCTGCTCTTCACTCTAGTTTCATACTCCCACTGACCTCTGTTGATCCCTCAGCTCAATCCAACCACAGCGAGCCCCTCCACTCCTTCCTGTACCTGTCCTCCCTAGAGTTGCATTTCCTGACAGTGCCCCTTTCTTCTCCCCTTTACCCCTTAGACTGAATACAAGTGTATTCCTTTCTAAGCCACAACTAAACCTTAAAGGTGATGTGCCTGTGACTGTCAGTTGGGCTTTCACAACTCTGCCTGGCACTTTCCCTTACCAGAAGTATTTCGAGCCTTGCAAGATTTGCTTGGACCCCAGATCTAAGAGGTTTCCAGCTATGCTGGAAACAGGCAGCTCATGAGTGGCCTGTTAAGACTTTGCTCCTCTTGCTTGAATATAAAAATGCCCAAATCTCAAGATTGCCACTCTGATCAGTGGCAGTGCAGTCAGCAAGAGCTCAGTGAGTCCAAATGCATGCATGTGCTTGTCAAAAAAATCAGTTAAATGGATCACAACCTTGAGAGGTGGTCTTTGTCATACTCATCATACACATTTTCTGCCTTCTCCTGAAGTCTGGCTGTGTCTGACCTCTATGCTCACCTTTGTAGAATACAGTACAGGAATCCTTTTTCTTTTTAGTTTCTTCTAAGTTAAGTTTCTTTTAACTGCAACTTTACTCAGCCTAGTTAGAAGCATATGGGGGATGCTATTGAAACACTTGGTTCGAATGATCCTGATGAACAGAAACATAGTTTGGATGCAAAGGGAAAAATATCCCTTAGTTCTTTCGGAAAGAGATCTTTTTGCACAGCAGAAAATTGAGAAGTGAAGGAGTGGTGGACGCCATGGTTTACAAATAACATTTGCTTTCTGATGTTTTACATATCACCATGTTTAACCTTTCTAGGGGGCCAAATTATTTTTTTGCATTTTGAATTCTAGCTGATGAGTGCCTCAGGCTTCCCACCCACAAGTGCCTACACGGCTCCTGCAGACCTGTGTGGGGTGGAGCGCAGCATCTCTTGCCTGTCAGAAGATTTCTACCTGAGAAATGCAGTGATGAGAACTATGTAAATGTGACAGAGCTGCTAGAACGAGCAAGGGGGTTTGCATATGTTTGTGGAGGAGAAATTTGCTATAAAGAGTAAATAAAAAGCTAAAAGCTGATGGAAATAGAACCATTCACATTCAATGGCATGTGTTCCAAATAGACTAGACATTGCTGAATTGGTCCCAGGAATAAATGATCGTTTGGGGAGCTATATTTCTTGCCAGGTTCTAGCAAGGCTCAAGTTTAAAGACAATACAATTGTTCCTCTATGACATGGGAGCAAATAATTCTGAGCAGAATTTGAGGATGGCATAAAGGCTGAAGGCACAGTAAATCACTAACTGCACAGAGTAGTCCTGGTTACTTGGCTGACTACTTATGTGTGCTTCTTTGAATTTAGTTTCACTTTTTAAATTTAATCTTATTTAATTTTTTAATCTTAATTAAATTTTATCATTTGTGTTTTATGTTATTGATATTTAAAATTTGAAATGTAATGGCAGGTATTAAGAAGGTCTTTAATCTTGCTGAGAATGGCAAAGCAAGGGCTCCAGCAGCCCTAAGTTGATGTCAGACCAATTAAAATTATAATGGAGAAATGCCTTTTTAAGTGATGATGGTTTAATATTGGAAGGGGTTATCAAAAGAATTGGTTCTTTCTCAGTCTCACATCATGACTGGATGAATCTGCGCTTTAGCCAGGCATACATTATGCTTGAGAAAAACACAAGTGACTAGTCTTCATATGGAGATGGCTGTGTGAAATATAATAGTTGATGATGTACTTGTGGTCTGATTAAAAACAGAATATCTGATTTGAGGCTATTGTGGCCTTAAACTCAATGATTCTCTTGTTTGCTTAGCTGAATTGGCTTATGACTGATAGAACAAATTGTAATGGCATTCAGAAGCCTGACCAGATGTGTTCCCACAGGAAATGAGGTGATTGCAGTAGACTGGAAGGGACTGAAAGATGTGGACCAAATCAATATGGACAGCACGAGTTCACTGCATGGCAGCAGCTTCCATCGACCTTCCACCGAGGTGAGTGCCTGTCCCAGACCTGCTTACCCAAGGGGATCAGAAAATTTGAATTCTCTCTGAGGTCAGAAGCGGGTGTTGTGCATCACTGAGGCATCATCAGGGAAAGGACCAGAATGTCAATAAGCACCTGAGCACCAGGCTTTCATACCTGTGTAGTTTGGCTTGCACTGAATAGGGCTGAGTCACTCCTTCATAAGATCCATAGTGAGATAGAATTTGCAAATGAAAGTGCTTTTTAACCACTCATGACGGGAGTGGAACACAACATGGAAAAAACAGTTCTCACAACTGTGAGAACTGTAGGTCTGCATTCCTTGAATACAGATTCATATTGAAATGCCCAACACTATGTCTGTCCCAGCTTCTGCAGCATAGCCATAAAATGTTTTGATTTGTTTGTATTTTGATTGTTAGGGCTGCATTCATTAGTAACTCCCAGTCAATTAATTTACCATGCAGTGTCTCAAGGGCTGGTTCATTTGCTGTTCTGAATTATTGCAGCTTCTGCCCTCTTAGATACCTTAATGTACAGCTTTGTAAGGTTTAGTGCATGCAATGATGATTAATAAAAATATCAAAGCTATTTTAAATTCATAATATTTGAAGAATCACAAATAATGTTCACAAATAACCTTTAAAAATAACCTACAGTTTGCAAAACCCTGAAAAATATAAACGTATCAGTATTTTTATTTCCTTTTTATACGCCTTTGGCTTGGAATATTAGTTAAAGAAACTTGGAGTTTAATGGAATCCTGGCAGAAATTGTTGGGTCCAGTCTTGTGTGGAAGATTCAGTTAAATCAAATACAGACCTAAAAGTCAACGAGCATACACTACACCTCAATGAACATCTGGATTTATATGAATGGATACAATAGGTGTAACTGACTCATCTAAATTTTCCTATATCTGCATCCCCAAAACCGAGTTGTTGAGATATGAGTCCTCCCAGCTGAAAGAAACACACAATGAATTGGTGCTGTGATGGCTGATACAGGAAATGGATGTAGTTTGCAAGGGGAGAGTGAGTCAAAATGGGCAAACCGAAACACTATAAGAAAAAATAACTTCAGGAGAATTCTGTTGCTTGATGTATTATACTTAAAATATAAAGGTGGTGTAGCTCCTCCTTGTGTTAGCCTCAAAGTGGTGCAACCCCCACAGTTGGAAGGGGAGCCTTATGAAAAAGTGTCTTCCTCTTTCCTACTCTATCATCCTGTCCGCTATTGCACCTTCAAACACCGTGACACCTACAGATGCCATAATCAACAGGAGGGAATGAAACCAGCTTGATAGACACAAGTTTCTTTTAATATATCAGATAAAGCAGTGACTGTTGATTATGGCAGAACTACTAGGGTTGCAAGGCTGTTTGCAACTTGTTTGTTGCTCTGATGTGCTGTCATTCTTTGCTTTCTTTAGCAAACACGGACAGATTTCTCCTGGGATGGCATCAATGTGAGTATGCGCTACACTACTGTTCAAATTTCTAGTTATAGGAAGACCAGGATTTCTCTGCCATTGGATACGGTGAAGGGCAGAATGGAAATATGACTGAAAGTCTTTAGTGCCAAATTCTGGAAATTGTCTACGATTCAAAAGATAAGGATAAATTTTTGTTTGCTTCTGAGTTTTTTGCTATCTGACAGGTATGTAGATCTGCAGATGGCTACTGAGTTGCTTTCATCCTTTTTGAACAAATGTGTGATGCTTCCTATGTTCTATTTTTGAAATTTCTGGGTGCTGCTACATAAGAAAGGTGTCTGTCCAGCATGTTAAAAAGATTGTTAGTCCTTGATCATAATTTGATCTTCTCCCACGAGAAATGTATCTCTCATTCAGTTGCATACTAAGTAAAAGAGTTCTTAATGTCCCCCGGGGGGGATGGTCAGTACAAGTTAACTTCAGTTAACAAGCAGAAGGAAAAACATGCAAACATTTTAACTCATTTCTTTTGCTTTTAATACCTGTGCCATGAACAAAAAAATGTGTTATTTTTTTTTGTTTTTCACAAAAGCAAACTTAACACCCTGAAAAAGGAATAATGCATATTTTTGCTACCAAACAGGTTTTTTTTTTGTGCTCATCAGGCTTAAAAAATATTTTAACATAAGTTAACTTGATAGTTTTGTGCATTTGGAAAGTGTACAAAAGCTCCGTTTTAAGTAGTAGAAGTATTTTCATATTCCAGATATTTTCAAAACTTTTAAAACATCTTTAATTTTCTGGTTACCTGTAGTTTAAAAGCACTTGGGACATTGAATATCAAGAGGGCATTTTTTAAATAATTCTCACCCTGCTCATACCTCTTTCGTTGTGGCACTTATGGCTTGGGATCTTTTGCCTAGGATCAATTAGAGAAACAAATTGTGCAGGAAAATACTGGCTCATGCAGCAACTGTCTAGAAGAAATTTGTCAGTTTTTTCTCCTCACTGCACCTCTGTCTAGCTGAAAGCAAGGTACGCAAAGTCATGTATCGTTAAAGAAAGTAGAAGACAGTTTCCTTACTTGCAGTTTCCTGTTTTTCAACCCATTCAGAATCCATGGAGCTCTTTCATAATGCAGCTCTTCTGCAGTGTAATTCCATAGATCTTCTTTGGTATCAAAGCTGGATCATTAATTTCCTTCCGATCCCATTCATTCCTGCCTTCATGTCATAGCTCTCCAACCTCGCAGTGGTAGAAACTCTCTGAGTTTACTTTCGTCTCTGGACAATTTCCATGAGGTAGCTCACGGCACAGCCCCCAGGCTGTCATGGAACAAGTGGGTGGATACTGAACAGCAGCGCCTAGGCAGGAATGACCAGTGAGGGCATAGATGGACTTTCTCCAACAAGCTTCATTACCTAAGGAAATACATCATGGAACAAGGGATGTGTTCTCACTTTTTACTGTTCTTCCCCTGCTTTCTTCAGCTCACGTTGCACACGGACATTCCTGGCTCCAATGTTACAGGATGTCATAGTTGCTGCCTTTATGCTCAGTTTCCAGAAAAACTCATCTCTCGTAATTCAGCAATTGACTGGAATTATATGCAGTCCAACATCTTTAAAATGCCTTCCTTTGCCTCCAACTATTTCACTGCTTAGTTATTGCTCCACTCACTTTTTTTGAGGTCTGTGCCTGTGACCAAATGCTTGTTTTGTGTAAGGATTTAAAATTTCCGGCGTCATGGTCCCTACTTTTGAGTATCGTTGTGTTTCGAACATTCTGGCCTTGATTTTCAGTGAGGTTGAAATGAAGAGCAGAAGCAATGCTTGTTTAGCCCTTGTGAAAATTAAGCCTCCAATGAAATGTCTGGCATCTCTGAAGAAGCCTGATGAATTCATCTTGAGAGATTATTTTTATGATGATGTTTGTGACTGCTGCCTGTCCCAGTAGTGTCCTGTCCTTGTTATTCTGGGACTGAGGATGAACACAGAGAAGACAATAAAGAAAATTAGGCAGAGCTGTATACTGTATTTATTTACAGATAGTTGTTTGTGCTTGAAACAGGACACGTCACTGATACAGTCATGTTCATTTTATTAAGACCATGCGAGAAGAATAAAAACCCTCAAAGTGACATATAAAAATTATTAACTGTACTATGATGCATCTATGATACATCAATTACTGTGCCTTGCCATTGGCACTGACAGCTCCCCATTGGAAGTTCCCTGAATTGTCCATCAGCCATGTCTTGGATCTCTAACAAAGTGTTGGGAATGGTGCAGCATGCCTATGAAGGACCGGCAGCAGCAAAGGGAGGCTTCTCACAGCACGGTTTTGCCTCTGCCTCTGACCTTGCCTCACTCAGTCCCAATGCTGTGCAATATCCAGTCCTGGTTAAATAGCCTCTAATTTTTCCTTTCCTTCTTTTGTTCTTATTGCTTGCTTCTGCTCCTCATCTTCCAACTACCTACTGATTTCTCACTTCAGTTCACTTCCTTTTCTCCTTCCTGTATATCATTTCTTCATATTCTCTCTCTTTTCAGCTCTCCATGGAAGATACGACCTCCATCCTCCCCAAGCTGAAACGCAACTCCAATGCTTATGGGATTGGGGCTTTGGCTAAATCATCTTTCTCTGGTGAGGTCCTCAAAATTTGAGTTTATCCTTGGCAGCTTCTCTCCACAGGCCTTTGAGCCTCTTCCCATATCTCTTTGTTGTTCTCACACCTGCTCCTTTCTGACTCTCGCCTTTTCAAGGCCTTAGAGGAGTCTCCACCACCATGGTTCGAAATACAGAAATCTCATAGTTGTTGCCCTTTGAAAGAACACATTTTTCTTACTCCTGTTGGCCTCTCACCGTGCACCCCTGCTCAGACATCTTCAATTGCTTCCCCTCAAACAGTCTTGAGTTTAACCCCATTTTCTGCTTCTTAGTTTGTTCATTTCCAGGCTGCATCCTTCATGCCCAACTCTATCCTAAATGGATTCTAGGCAAGGAAGGAAATGGTCTTTCAGATTTTGGGTTTCCCTTTTTCCTCCTTCTGAGAGCTAGTCCAAGGAAAGATGGAGAAACTCTCCTGGAGAGTTATACAGGGAAACCTGGGAGACACCCAGCTGCAGGCATGAATCCTGTCAGGAGAGGAGGGGAGAAGCTCCACTTCTAAGAGAGGTAAACAGCATGGCAGACAACCCTGGAACTGTGTAATAGCCCTTCCTTGTTTTCTAATGTCTGGCCCCTTAGGGATATCTCGCAGCATGAAGGACCATGTCACAAAACCAACAGCCATGGGCCAAGGCCGTGTGGCTCACATGATTGAGTGGCAAGGCTGGGGCAAGGCCAACAGCCAGCAGCAGCAGCACACGCACGAGACAGCGCGCAAAGACGCCGACGCCTACTCAGACCTGAGTGACGGGGAGAAGGAGGCCCGGTTCCTCGCAGGTAGCACTGACTTTCTGGTGTGTGGGTTGGATTGGTTGGGATGACCCAGAGCAGAATCCCTGAGAGACCACTTAGGAGAGGCTCTGGGTGGTTCAGATGGCCAAAGCAGAGAGAGATGTTGTGGTTGGAGTGTTGCCAGTGGAATGCAAAGGGGAGAGGTCCAGGGCCCATTGCGGATGATGGGTGTTGCTGAGATAGGACAAGAGTGGGACAGTGTGACCAAGGGATGAGGTTAAGGAAGGTGATGAGAAGTGGAGACTTTCACACATGCCTGTTTACCCTTCCTGTTTCCTTTGGCACAGGAGTGATGGAGCAATTTGCTATTTCTGAAGCAACTCTCATGGCTTGGTCCTCCATGGATGGTGAGGATGTGAGTGTAAACTCAAATCAGGACAACCCAGCAAGCAACTACTCTGAGAACTATCAGGAGCTGATGGAGAGCCAAGGTGAGCTCCAGTGCTTCTTGCTAATCATAAAACACCCCTTTCCTGCTCTTGTTTTCACGTTGCTGTCTTTACCCTGTTTTATTCTGTAGCCCCAATCTTTGGGAGTGGGATCTAGTAGAGTCATCCCTATTTGCGGAGCTGTCCAAGGAATCTAATTATAACAGGGAGGTTCCAAAGTCCAGTTCCTTTTGCCTTTTCTGGGCACAACTGTGGAAAGCTACTGGCCCTTGCAGTCGGTTGTGAATATAACCAAGGTCATCTGCCTACTGCCTAGAATGGTGTTTTCTCTTTGCTCTCCTTCCCTCTAATGGATTCATTTACCCTGCACAGTGCAGTGCCATGCACAGGCACACAGGCTACCTGAATGAGCCAGCTTGTCCTAGAGAGAGTGTCTAACTGTGTGTTGTTTCTCTCCTTTACTTGCAGAGCATATGGCCCAGACGCAGTATGATAGCTGGCCTCATTCCTACGTCTCACAGGGCATGTATTGCTTAGGTTCATCTGATGCCTGGGAGGCCAGTGACCAGTCCCTCATCGCTTCCCCAGCAACTGGCTCCTACTTAGGCCAGAATTTTGATGAGTCCCAGACAAACCTTCAGGAAAGCATTTTGCTTCAGAGCGGCTTTCTCCAGCAGCAACAGCTGCAGCAACAGCAGCAGGAGCAGAACTTCATCCAGAGCACGGGGCTGGTCCACGTGTGGCCCCTGCAGACTGCTCAGAGTGGAGGTGGAGCTGAGTCCAGCACATACATGGAGGACCACATTGAGGATGAAGGGAACCCACGGCTGGAGAAGGCTCCTCTCCTAAACAAGAAGCCCTCTCCAGAGGAGGATGATGCAGTGTGCCGGGACCTGGAATCTCTATCTCCTCGAGAGGAGATGGAACATGCTGCACTGAGCCGTAAAGTCTCAGACGTCACCTCCTCTGGGGTGCAGTCCTTTGATGAGGAAGAGGGAGAAACAAATAACTGATGCTTTCTGTGAAGTTCTCATCACTGCTGAACAAAGAGAGGGGTGGCAAGGAATGAAATTACAGGGATTCTTCTCTCCAGCTCCCCATATTTCTGAGGAGGCACACCTTCCATTCCTGACATTTAATTATTTTTTTAAACAAGAGGAAAATCTCAAAGTGATTGACACATAAAAACCTCTTCTCCCCTCCCCCATGGACACATATTTTGGATTTTCATTGCTCTGGGCAACACGTGAGGTGCTTGTAGAGATCTGGATTGGTAAATAATTTCTAAATCTTTTTAATACTAAGTCTTGGCTGTGGATACAAACTCTTCTGGCACCCGGGATATGGCTGATGAGACAGGCTGGGTATAGGGAGTGGCTACGTGGCTAGAATTCATCTTGGCAGAATGGATAGTGTTCTGTGGACGTGGTCCCCTTTGATAGAATATGTGAATATAAACTGGTTTCAAATGAAGATATGGCTTTGCAAATATAGATGACACTAGTATTGTGTGATTGTGACTGATACAGACAATAAGGCTATGTTCGATACAGATTGTACTGAAATGAAAGATTTGCTGTGTAACCAGATCTTCAATAGCACCTTGATACAAAATTGTAGGTTTGGTGGATACAAACTGTGCTCCGTGGGCACGGGCTATGCTGCTGTACAAGATGGTGTCGCTCTGTGGGCCAGGCTCTGCTGTGGCATGGAGGAGTGGATGCAGATGCAAATCTAACGCTGCTCTCAGATATTCATGTTTTGGTTTCTTTCATTTATTTGTTTCTTTCTTTGACATCTCTACCTTCCCAGGAGCTGGCAAGAGCGGTGTGTCCTTTTGGCATGGGGCACTGGAAGCCGGTGGAAAGGACATTTTCAGCTACGGAGATAGTAATAAAAAACTGACTCTTGCAGGGGGGTTGAGGACATGTCCATCTTGGTGCTGCTGCTGCAGATTTCTGTCTTCTCCCTTGCCAGCAGTATGGGGAGACCCAGAGAGCAGGCAGCAGATCCAGGAACAGAGTGTACAGCTATGAGATCATAGATACCGAGTTTACATTGAAGTTTTCAGCTTTTACTTTTTTTTAAACCTTTTTATATTGCTGGATAACGGTTCATAACAAAGCATAATAGGAAAGGCTTGTACTCCAGTCATGGCTTAACAGAAATACTATTTCTTTCCCATTTCTGCCACTCCTTCTGCAGTGCCAAATGTAGCTGGAGGAAAAGGGGTGAGAGGGAGTTTTCTCCTCCTATTTTTCTTCTTCCTGCCTGTGTTTTCTTTTGTTTTCCCACTCCCAAGCAGTGTAAATAATACCCAGTACTTGGTCTGTTTGTTTTTCGCTCCCCTCTCTTTTTTAGGTGTGGAGAAAGCTGATTTCAGGAGTTTTCCCTATTTGTACGGGTTCTATATTTTTTGTTAAAAAAACATGATTTGTTGACTAGGGGAATTTGGTCTCTTGCAATTCCTTGCCATCTTTCTACAGACCTCCTTTTAAGAGGAAGAGATTTTGAAAGGAAATTGTTTCCTTTCAAGCTCTCACCAGGAAAAAAAAAAAAAAAAAGAAAAGAGGCAAAAGCAAAAATTGTACAAGGTTATTGATTTTGCTATAGAACTGAACAGAACCAACACAGATGACCCAAGTGCTGAGTTTTAATTGCAAGACCTCTTGCAAGAAAGCATCAGCAAAGCATGGGTGTAAATCAGATGCTAGATCTGATGAGCGAGAGAAAGGAATTTGCCTGGAGACTGCCATACTATTCCAGGGGCAACCCTTTCTCACTTACGCTGACTCATATCTGCTCTGTTTAATTCATGATACATTTGTTTCTTCTTTGCCTCTTCTTCAGGCTTGGTGTGGTTTTTGGATGACAGGAAAGTGATACATGCTCCTTCCCCACTTCAGGTTTAGTTCCTGCATATTTGCAGGGAAGAATGTCTAAGGAGAATAAATTGTGACTGAAGTAATATCATCAAGTCTCAGAGTTCAGACAGCTCCTGGCAAGCAAAGCAGGTGACATCCAGGAATTATGAAAAAAAGAAATGGGACTCTCAGGTAGAACTTTACCCTACTCAGCTTTCTCCCACTTACACCGGCAGCTGCATGAAGAGGGACTCCTCTTTCAATACCTAAGTCGCTCCAGCAAAGTCCACTTCAAGCGGATCTGTCTTCCCTCTCCATTGCACCTCTAAAGGAAAGACCTTTGGGATATTTCAGTAAGATTGGTAATTTGGTGTAGGTAAGAGGGAAAAGTTTTTGTGACCATCTTGTTTTACCCATTTGCTTGGTCTCGCTTACATCTCTCTAAGGAGGTAGCTCTTCTCCTGAATGATGACCTTTCAATATCTCTTCAAAGATGTTTACGCATTCAGGTGCTAACCTCCCCTAGGCAGGAGGGTTTGATAAATATGATCTTCTATAATTCTTGCAGGGCCAGTGCTAGCTAGCTCATTGTCCTGAACTGGTTTGGGTCTAGCCTTAGAGCGGGGCCTAGGAAATCACACTAGCCAGAAAAGGGAGATGGGGCAAGTGCCAAGAGCACCTCAGCAGATGACAAATAAATAAGTGTCAATCTTTTCTTATTTCTTTTTAAAAAATCCTTCAGGGAAACAAAAATTGGTTGGGTATGTTTCTTTGTGGGAAATTTGAGTGGCTTCTTGTTTTTCTCTCCAAATTATTTTGTTCCCACGTGCCTCTCCAGGACCAATCTGGATGTTTACGGTAACTTTAGCTTCTAATGATCCTTCTGTGTTGTTTACAGGACTGGGACAAGTGGGTCAACTTGTCCAGGGCTTCTTTTTCTTTAATATGGGCATGCGGTACATTTACTAAGATATGTGACTCATGTCTAAAAGATGTACATTATCTCCATGGAAGACAGTGACAAGGAATTATCTACATGGGAAGAAGTGTGAAAAAATTTACCTTATAGAAAATTTTGTGGAGTTCAATGGGAAGAGAAAACCTATCTGTAGATTTTTCTGAGCTCCGTGGAATGGGATAGAGAATTATACCCTGCTGTATAATTCCATAGCCTGATCTCTAGAAACCTGTAGATAGCCTCATTCTCTGTGAATACAGACTGGTTTGAACACTACTCTGTGTAAAAACTTCCAAACATACTATTTTTTTTTTTCATTCATAAAGGTCTTGACTTTCTGTGAATAACAAAATTTCAGCCTTTTCCTGAAAGAAAGAAAAAGGCTATTTTCCATGACCTCTCCAAAATCCAAAAGCGAAATGTATCTATATTTGCTAGGAGCTTGACCAGAGAGAGCAGATCTGCCTATCTACACTTGCCACTTGAGTGAGCATCCTGAGAGCTGAACTGGAAAGGCAGTTTGAATCTTTTTGAAAGTGGAAAATTGTTTGTATAACCTGGCCTTTTCTTATGTAACAGGCCTGCTGCTTGTGTGTATCCAATATTAGAGAGAGACCTGGAACCTAGTGTACATTTCCCAGAAAAGCTGTTGTTATATAGATACACCTATTCAAGCATATGGGAGGCACAGGTGCTTTGTGAGTGAAATTTGGCCTGCAATCGCTTTATCCTGGTGAGGAGGGATGAATTGGAGAGAGTCCAGCCGAGTAGTCAGAGCCCAAATTGTATTTGTGAGGCTGAAAATAAGAAGGAAAGGTAAGCTCAGGATCCCTGATCTGCAGTTACTAAGAAACTGAGCCTGCTGTTTGTTTCCACAAACCTTTTGTAAAGCAGAGCTACACTACAGAAAAAATTTGGATATTCTTGAAGCAGTGGAGGTAGAAGATTCCTGTCTTTTCCCCAAGCCTTTGTCTTCAATAGAAACTTGTTGAAATTATTATGCTAAACACAAAGGAAGGCTTAAACACAAGTGACCCTAATTTAAAAGCTTCCACTGCAAGAAAATTCTCTCTTGTTCCTTTTCCCATGATTGCTCATACCTGATTAGTTATACTATTTCATAAGTTTTTCTTTTATATAAATCTGAAGGTTTCTTTATAAGCGTTCTGAGTTCTCTTCAACCCCATTACCTCAGGCTCTGGGGTGGAGAAGTCAGTCTGCTCGTTTCAATTTCTGTGCCTCTAAATTACCATCATCTTCTTCTGAAAAGCTTCTGACAAGTCACCCTCTTGCTTTTCCCCCTTAAAAACTTCAGTGTCACCTTTAGCAACAGACTTGTAGCAAAGAACAGTTCAACCATGCTTCTAAGCTGAACCAGTGGTGAGCTGCTGTGAAGGAAGGCAGCCCTTTGCCCTGGCCGTGCTCACCTCCCACAACCCTTATGCCGATGCTGATGCACAGTTGACCCACAGCAAACCATGCACTTTTACCCTACTATAAAAGTGAAGAGGGAACAGCTGTGAGCAGAGGGGGAGATCGTGCTATTCGCAGCAGCTGGCTTTCCTTTATATCAGGTTAGGGAAACAGGGGAAGTGCACTTTGAAATGGCATCTTCATGATGAGTCTAAGCTGCTCAAAGGAGCTGTCATGCCTCCTCCCTTCCGCCACCACCAGCTGTGTACTTCTACTGCCTAAAAAGCACCAGCGCTAACACTCATTTGGCTGCTCAGGAACGGGTCCCATTGAAAACTAACCCAGTCCCCTATCAAAATAAGGGTTTCAGTGGGATGAACTCTTCGCTTGGTGAGGCAAGCATCAGTGAGGGATGGTAAAATATGCAAGTGGTCATGTGGAAGACTGGTTGCCGATGCAACTTAAATTGGCTTAAACTGATTGTGAAGTACCTGTCTGAAAAGAATAACCCCAACTTGGGGCACCATGAAGGACATGTTCCCCCTTTTCTCCCATAATGTTTTTCTTGGAATTTCAAGTATGCTCTTACTTGATTTGGAGTTTGTTGTTATTTATGCTCTGTTATTTCTCTCACTCTTCCCTTCCTTTCCGAAGGCTTCTTTGAGATAAACCCTTGCAAGGGACGGGAGGACATGAGTAACTTGATATATGCATGGAATTAATAAAATTAACATGCACAAATCTCGTATACACTCAGTGATTAAACTCCATGGCAGCTAAAGGTACTGCTAAGTCTTATCCTGTAATTGCAAGAGGAGAGCCTTGTGCAAGAGTGAAGCACAGCTGGAGGGAGGGACACATATCCCTGTCTTTAAGCCAGTTCCAATCTAGTGTGAGATCCAGCAGAGCACTTCTCACCTATGCAGAGTCTGTGCATGCTGTACTGTGTATGGCAACAACGAAAAAATGTAAGTTGTAGCCCCAGAGAAGAGAACCGGAGAGAGGAAATTGTTCTCTTAGTTGAACAGAGGTGTGAGGTGTGGTGGTGAGGCAAGGTATTGTGCAACAGTACAGGCTTGTGGACAGCTGTGTGTGCTCTATGCAATGGCAAGGAGAAGTCTAGCTAGAGAGGGAAAGACATTGAGAGAAAGGCTTGGGAAAAAGGTCAAAAAAAGCTGAATGTCTTTTCTTTACACAACTCGGGTAGGAAGCTTAATGGCAGACTTGCTACACAAGCTGTAAGTCCAGGCTTGTTGCAGCTTGTAGTACTCCTTAGTCCAAGCCACACCTTTTTTTTTTTTTTCCCCACAAAGTGATCAGAAAGGGTACCTGCTAACTTCTTTTCATTATCTTTGAAAAACAATTCACAGTATGCTTAGTTCTGCAGGGAAATCTTATGAGAAATACACCAAATAAGAACTTACTCCTTGTCCAAATGAAGTTAATGTGAGTTTTGTTCTCATTAGGAACTCAAAATATCTAAAGTCAGCTCAGTTTGCCTTAACTGGTGTATTGGTAGTTGTCTAGAAGGAGAAACTCAAATCCACCTCTAAATGCTGTAGAAAGCAGAGCAACATTGACATAGCCTAAGCTCTTCCTTCTGATTTGTCCCAGGTGGAATTTCCAATGTTTCTTGTTCAGACAATTCTGGCATATCTTTTAAATTAACTTTTTGACTTTTTCTAAGAGAAGCAGAAAAAAGAGAAAAAAAAATTCTGTTCCAATACAGAGATTATCAGCAGCTGGTGCCCTTACATCTAGAAAAATGTAACTAAGTAACAGTTTCACCTTTGATTTTCCTCCCCTGTAGCAATCTGACAGGGAAAGATTTCTATGCCATGGCTCAGGGAAAGGAAAAATAAACAGGGAAAATGTGAGTAAAATAGTGCCTATTAGAACTAAACGTATATGTAGAACAGACTACAGTCATTAAAGCACAGTCTCAAATATGATTGCAAACTGTAAAGTCAATGTCAGGTGCCTCTTTTGTATCATAGGCTTTTCCCAGGCTAAATAGTGCAGGAGCAGAAGAGCTGGACTTGTGTGCCAGATCAATGTCTCTCTTTGTCTCAGAATTTGTCATGGAACCTGGGGACACTACGCTCTCTCAGCAGCACAACCAGCTCCATGAATTGACAGGTGTAGGCATGAAGACAAGTGGTTATTGTGTTAACAAATGGACATGGACAATTTGCACTTGGAACATTAGGGTCTATTTACATCCTTGCACTGGCATTTTTCCCCAGCATAGTCAGATCAAAATGTTATCTTTTCCTTGGAAATGAGGAGAACTTCTGTGATTGTCAGTGTT